TGCACAATGTGATCTCCTAGTCATTTTTCACAAATTAGATAAAGCTGGAGTGTCTTTTCCATTGCAATTTACTCCTTCACAATGTTTTATGTTACATTCTAGTTTTCTTTGGCTTACAAAACTTGAAAAAATGGTACCAGAAAACAAAAAATGAATTGGTACACAAGATTTCTGTAATCTTGAATCGCAAAGTTATATATGATACCTTCTTCTGGTTTTCTTTAACATTGGTTGTCATTTAATAATAAAATCATTAGGCGTGCGGTTTTGTATCCATTGGAGTAAAGGTTTTTGGTTATGAAATTGAAAGTAGGGTTTGGAGTCCTTTCTGGAAATGAGATTAAAGGAAATTGAAAGCTGTTTGTGGTGTGGTGCGGGACAAGTGAAATCAAATCAGTTAACAATCTTGACGAAATTTTTTTCCTTACCTAGACTTAATTGTTGCAGTGCTCCTTTAAAGTATAATCAAACCCTACATGGTTTCTTCGGAAGTCATAATGACTTATTTTGTTTTTGACCAACGTTTGTTGTCTCATTTACCCACATCAATTCCCTCAAAAAACTTCGTCAAACATACTAATATGGCCCTTACTTGGTGACAAACTAAAATGCAAAATGTTATTCAAGAAGGCAAAGTGAGTCATTGGGACTTATGAGCAATGTGAAATTTGAATACTAGTATAATAAAGCCTTTTATATATTTCGATGTTCCAAGTTTGAATTTCTGTTCTTCATGTATAATTTTCCTTTTGATAGAAATCGAGAAGATGTATGATGAAACTTATGAAAGTTATGATTAAATTGAGACAAATCTTTGACCACAAAAACATTGAGACAAATGAACGGCTGAAGAAATACATAAGCTGTAAGGTACGTCTGGGACACAAACTTGGAGGTAAGGAAATCACCACCTGTCAGTAAACTAGGTGACCAATGAATATCCCCACCCATTGGCATAGATGAGGTCTCATATTTTACACATTTGGAAACAGTACGACCTATATGACACATAATTAAGTTTCACTTTTCTATGCAAAAGTCACCTTTCTACCTCGAGTGATTTAGAGCATTCATCTCTGCGCTCACTCACCCTTATAGCTCGAGTGATTTAGAGTATTTATCTCTGCGCTCAAAGTTACGTGTTCAAATTGTCATCGTTACTTGAAACATTGATCTATAAACATTGATCTATAAGTAACATCAAGGTGGCAATCCATGCATGATATAAATCACCCAACTACAAAGATTATTAGACTATAGCATGCAGTTCCAATTTGCAACTTATTTATAACAATCCAATTTTAATACCATTTCATTCACTTAAACCAAAAATTGAAATAAACTATTTCTTTCAGGAGTTTAAAGTGGGCAGCAATAACAATCCAATTTGTAAACTATTACAGTTATCAAATTTGATAGGGGAAAAAAAATTCCATGTTACCTATCCTTTCAGGAACCTAATCCACTTTAAGCTAAATAGAAGCTTCTGTATCAAAAATTCACAAGTCAAAGTTCTCATGAGAAGGAGTAATTTCTAGTACTCCCCATTTCAGAGTGTTAATTTAGTCCAGACCCTTCAAAGATTTGGAAAATGATTTATTTATTTATTTTCCTTAAACCCATATCAGATTTTGGCTCTTGCAAGTTGCAAGCCACCTCCTTTTTCACTCTATATATACCCCAAACCCCCTCATCAATACTCATTGACTTGAGAGTGCATTCCCTTGGCAACCATCCATCTCCACCATATACACTCCTCTAAGTCATCAGAGAAACATACTAGAATTCAGAGAGAGAGAGGGAGAGAGAAGCAGGTGCTACATTTGTATGGAGATTGCTTCTAGTTTGATATACTTATTGCTCTGTCTCTCAACTCTGTTGTTATACCACTTCATAAAGAAACAAAAGAGAAATTCTAAACATAAAGCTAAGCTTCCCCCTGGCTCAATGGGGTGGCCTTACATAGGAGAGACTCTACAAATGTACTCTAAGGACCCAAACATATTCTTTGCTTCAAAGCAGAAAAGGTTCTAATCTATTATCAACCTCTGAATCCTATTAATCTTCCATTATGTTTCGTCTCCATGGATTTGATCCAAACTTGTTTCATTTTGCCCTTCTTTTTTGTGTTCATCAGGTATGGAGAGATATTCAAAACCCACATACTTGGGTGCCCTTGTGTCATGCTGGCAAGCCCTAAGGCCACAAAGTTTGTGCTGGTCACTCATGCCCACTTGTTCAAGCCCACATACCCCAAGAGCAAAGAGCAGATGATTGGTCCTTCAGCTTTGTTCTTTCACCAAGGAGACTACCACAATAGCCTCAGGAAGCTCATTCAAAGCTCTCTGTCCCCAAACCCCACCACTATGCAGAAACTAGTTCCTGACATTGAAGCATTAGCCATTTCTGCCTCTGAGTCATGGGCTGCAGGTGGCAAGGTCATTAACACCTATCATGAAATGAAAAAGGTTAGTGTTTCACCCACAACATGTTTTTAATGTGAGCCTCATGTTTTTGCTTATGCCTTTTTGGCTCAACTTATTGGTTTCATCATTGGCGGTTCAAATTGGTTTGTCTTATTGCTGATGTTCTCAAAACTTCCTTTGAAATGGGTCCTTCTGTTTTGTTTGGATCAAGTAATATTTTATTCTAATATATGGATGGATCTCATTGTGTCCCTCTACAGTTCTCCTTTGATGTTGGCTTCCTTGCCATCTTTGGTCAGTTGGATGACACTTATAGAGAAAGGCTCAAGGAAAATTACTGCATAGTAGACAAGGGTTACAATTCTTTTCCAACAAAGATACCTGGTACTGCATATCACAAAGCTCTTTTGGTAAGCAATAGTCATTCTTTCTCTAAAAATAATATATGTAATCATACAGAAAGATTATAAACTTTAAATCTGACACTAACTTTTGTTTCTTCTTTCTGGGTAATTATCAAAGGCAAGGAAAAGGCTTGGTCAGATTTTGAGTCAGATAATTTGTGAGAGGAAAGAGAAGAAAACACTGCAGAAGGATCTATTGGGTGATCTGCTGAACTTCCAAGATGAAAAGGGGCAAACTTTAACTGAGGATCAAATTTCAGATAACATCATTGGAATTCTGTTTGCAGCCCAGGACACTACAGCCAGTGCTTTAACATGGATCCTCAAATACCTCCATGACAACCCAAAAATTCTTGAAGCTGTGAAGGTAAGAGTTCCTTGCAAAGTTTACAAAATTTCACACAAATTGTACATGTGAAAGGTTGGTTTATGTCAAGCTGTTATTTATTGCAGGCTGAGCAGAAGGCTATATATGAAGCAAATGATGGATGCAAGAAGCCCTTGACATGGGCACAGATTAGGAACATGCCTCTTACATATAGAGTAAGCCCAACTCTAACTACTCTTGTATTCAAAATGCAAAACAGCACCAAGAAATTTAGACTAACTGTGAGCTGAATATAAATGGAATTTCAGGTTCTATTAGAGAGCTTGAGAATGGCAAGTATCATATCTTTCACATTCAGGGAAGCAGTGGTTGATGTAGAATACAAAGGTGAGGATTTAAAGTTCATTTCTGTGCCTTTTTTCTTTTTCTTTTGAGGACCTTTCCAATTGAGAGGGGCGATAGCTACTAAACTCACACACACAACATGGATACTAAGGCTTGAACCCAAGACCTTTCTTGGAGGGACAATTACTCCAAACCACTACACTAGTGGGTCCTTGGTCATTTCTGTGCCTTTTAATTAGCAGGATAGCAGTAAAGAGGATTTATGTCCATTAATTTCTTTAATATTTATCAAAATCAATTTTGCAGGATATCTTATACCAAAGGGTTGGAAGGTGATGCCATTGTTCAGGAACATACATCACAATCCAGAATTCTTCTCTGATCCTCAGAATTTTGACCCATCTAGGTTTGAGGTATGTATTATGTCGCAGACAAAGGTGGTTTTTTGTTTAAACCAGAGAGAGTCTGATATCAGCTGGTTTTTGCCAGTATCAGCATCTCTCTCTCTCACACACAAACAAATTCAATGGAATACCAAATTTTCATTTTTTTTCTTCCATATATTTATTTTTCTGGTTGTGGGTGAATAGGTTGGTCCAAAGCCTAAAACTTTCATGCCATTTGGCAAAGGAGTGCATGCTTGTCCTGGAAATGAGCTTGCCAAGCTGGAGATGCTCATTTTGGTCCACCATCTTGTGACCAAATTCAGGTACAAAATGCAAACATCTCTATTTTCATTACAGCTTTTTGCATCAGATTAGAGATGGAATTTACTGCTTAACAAGTTTTGATTCTTACTTAGATCATATTATCAAAAACATTATGCAGAAACATTGCTTAGATCATATTATCAGAGGGCTGTTGTTGATATTTTATGATTTGCGTTGCAGGTGGGAAGTAGAGGGGTCACAAAGTGGGATTCAGTATGGCCCATTTCCAGTTCCTCAGCATGGTTTACCAGTCAGATTTTGGGAAGAATCCAACAATCTCAAATAAGACTTGTGGGTCTCTAATTGAAGATGCCTTCATCAACTTACTCATTTTACCTCCCTAAAACCCAATTTAAAGCCCTCTTGTTTTAAAATGGGGCCTTTCTCTCTCTAGAAGTAACCTATCATATATCTACTCCTTGTAATTTTTATGGATGACTTTGATCATCTATAATGGAATGGGGTAAACCTTTTTTATATTACCCTAACATAAGATGAGGGATATGTTATTACTATTATTGTAACTTTGTCCAAAGCTAATAAAACTTAGGCATTTATAAGAAAATATATTCTGTATATCGTTCATACTATATATATTATCATCTATCTAACATGTTAATCTAGTGGTACTAATTTTCCTAATGTCGGAAGAGGTCTTAGGTTCAAATCCTTCCTCTTCCATAGGCAAAACTTAAAAGAGAAAAAAGAGAACATAATCATCTGTTGACGTCTAAAATTTACAAACTTAAAAAGTGTCTCAAATGATAGAACAATAAAAGGAGAACCATTTCCAACTTACCTAACACTTCAATATAAAGATTGCTACTTCAAAACTTTGCTACTCTAGTCCATTTTTTTTTAACTCTATCATTGTATTGTCCAAATTTCAATTAGGATTTTTGTCTGCATCTTTTTTTAGCATTTAAATTTGCTACAGTGATTATGTATTTTTGACATGAAAGAGGAAAATTTGAATTAACACAAAAAAAATATTAAACCAATGACTTTCTACACATCAAATTTCTCTATCAAACACCGTTGATAAGGAAATTTGTTCAATCCATCTGATGCGACCTGGCTTTGTTCCTCTGATGATTGGGCCTGCATATTGCTTCACATCATCACATGGGGGGTCACTAGCAGTGGCCACAAAAGAGCCACGTGTCATAAATCTGGTTGGCTGAGTGAAATCAAAGGTGCCGTTGATTGGAGGGCATTAGATTTAGAAGGCAGGCAGCAAAGCAAATCAAAGGGCAGAAGGCTTGAGTGATTGGTTGTGGTTCTGGGAGCTTAGCCAGCTACAGCCTACTTCCCCCTATTGCTTGCAAATTGTAAAGCCTATTTGGTTTTGCCAGTGGCCCAATGGCCCCAAATTTGACATTTCAATAAGGACAAACAAAACTGTCCTCCAATAGAGCACCACCCGGTAGGAATGGCCAAAATTACACAAGTCTAAAAGATTCCGACCAGTATGTCCTTCACCTTCAGGGACACAATTTCTGCATGCTTCCAATTTCCCCAGAAATATCATCTAGCTGTTCGTTGCAGCATAAAGGAAATTTGTAAGCACTCAAAGTAGTACCAAATGGAGCTTAAGTTTTAAGACAGAGTACATTCAACAAAGACCATCAAATGGACTGGTACAAATTGTTGATCTTAGTTCTAAAAGAAGTGTGTGGTGGCTGTGTAAATAAGATGCTTGATTGATAAGAAACTATAATAGATTCATTCAGACCAACGCAAGCAGGTAAGGCTTCCTTGAGTTCCATTAAAAATGCAGTATGTTCAATGAAAATTCCGACTATAGCATCAGTCATTTTCTGTTGCAGGGACAAAGCTAAAAGGATTGTTACTCAAGTAATGTAGGGCAGCTGGAACTAGGTTATGTTTGTGTTATTATTCTCGTACTAGCTAGCATTAAGCAATATGTCTACAACACATTATGCAAGTATATCGAAAAGAGAAAAAAAAAACCATGTAATAATCATGAAAATCAACCCCATCATAATTGAAATGTGTAATTCTTTGTACGTTTGACACGATTTGTCAGGATGTTCTTGTCTATCACCAAGCTTTTTTTTTTTTTTGGTCTGATGTCTATCACCAAAATTAGAGTACCATCCACCAATGGGGAAAAGGACATCAGATCATCACATCACGTTCCCATGTCATAGACAATGGAATCGTCTCATTGACGCTGAAAAATAATGTCACAAGTAACACCAGAATTGTACTAGATGTTCACATGGCACCATCAACATCATTCTTGACTAAGGTCGATAGCATTATCACAAGATGGAACCCTCATCAAGTAAATATAGCTGCTGTAGCATCAACAGTAGTTCATTCACACCAACATTTTCAATGGGAACCATCTCATTGCCATCATCATTTTCATCCAAGGAAATGAGAAAAGGATTTAACTTAAGGTACCCATTAACATTTCACTTGGTACAATGCATATCAATTGTATAGCTGTACAGGGTACTTCCATGTCAGCAATATTCATGGAAATCAATTCAGTAATGACATCTTAATTAGTCATAATATAAAATCATCAAGACTGCTTACACACTTAATTCACCATGGTGATTATGATGATGATGATTTTAATACTTATCATCATATGATGCAGACAATTCAATCAATTTCCCTGTTGATCAAACACCTAATGAAGGCAAAAGCCAGATATTTTAGTTACGTGATCCAATTTTAAGGTGTCATGAACAATCTAGATTTAGATAATCTACGCAAAGAGAGTGTCATCGGTATCAGGTATTATAAGAAATAAAATCTTTCTCAAAATAGTTAACTTGTTTTCTGGAAAGACAAAATGATATTCAACAAACAACATCAATACATAAATGGGATCATACAGCTTATGGAGCACTGAGAATGGAACTTTCTTTGTCATTAGTCAATTGATCTCTATTCACCTAGCCATAATGGCATTACGTCCATTCTAAAAAAAACCTCAGGCTCCCTCTTAAAATGGGTATGAATATGTACAGTACAACCCTATGAATTTTCTGGAGTGACAAATGGTATTCAAACTTCCACCAGAAAATCGGCATGAATTTTGCGGAAGGAAATGATATTTCACTATATACTTCAATAATTGAAAGGAACATGAAGCTTCAAGAACCAAACCGCCAGAAAATACTCCAGTAATAAAAGTTTATAATTCTAGAGCCAGACTGGTCAATGATCCCTAACTTATCACCATATCTTTATCTGTTGGGTGGAATTCATAGCTAAGTTTACTTTTTCAGTTAGTATCATTGAAATAATCATTGTCCGTGATCCCAAACTACCTACCAGATCAATGATCATCATGTCTTTTTATCCCTGAGTTGAAAATTTATACTTAATATGGGAGATGTTATTGGCACTCCAAAATAGTCATCCTGCACTCCTTTCTAATGAAAAAAAAAAAACCCAAGGGAAGGGAGGAGAGCAGGATGACTATTTTGAAGTGCTACTGAATATAGAGCATTTTATAACAATCAATTAATAACCTTAAACTAAAAAACTAATTCTCCGTCATCCCTGAATTGCCTTATACCTGTCTATTTTCTTGTCAAATTTCATTACAATTAGTTCTACCCTAGAATTGTGAAATGGAATACATTGTATAAATCAAATTAGCTAATAAAAGGATTTTCAAATTTTCTCCTATCCAATAATGTCTTTACTGTCTCCTTTTTGACTCCTTGCAAAGTCAGTGTTATATTAACTAAAAGATTTTAACTGAAGGAAAAATAAATAAATGAACAAATACTTTCATAGCTAAAATAAGTATATGGGAAAAGATGCAGGTAAATCCTTGGTAAACCGTGGAAGATATTATAAAATGATTTCAGGATGTTAGATAGCCAAGATGAATCCAAGAAACCAGACTGGGGCCAAAGGATACCACAATAAATGATTCAACTATATGGAGCGACCACAATTGACAGGAGTATTGCCTGCACCACTCACACACGTATTCAACTTCAGAGGGGGGCATAAAGAAGAAAATATATGCGGAATCTAGTAAAGAAAAAAGGCCACAAACTCTAGAAAATTAAAATTCATGGGCTAAAATTCCATTCGAAGTAAGGTAACAAGATCTGATGTTGCACCATCTTCAACTCTTCTTGTGGAGGAACCTAAGGCAATGGCCTCTCCCACGAGCAATGGTAATTTACTTGAGAGAGCTAAGCGAAGCAGGTGGACAAAGGTCCTTTTTCTTTTGTTTATCCCCTTTCCTAAAAAAACTGTTTTCTCTGCAACTTAATAATTAGAGTTCGGAAACCCTTGTTAGCCAAGTCCCCATGGATACAAGTTAACTGGATAAAAAAGACCAGGATCGCAGCGAACTCCCTAAACAGTAGAATCTCATGAATGTAGCAGAACGAGGTCATGCGTAGACTGGGAAGATATCGGCTTTCTAAAATATCGATTAGTATAACAAAATGTGATATGGCATATTTTAAAATCTAGAAGAGCTTCTATTTAAAGAGCCGACAAATACATTACTTTGGTGAGGCAACCTCACAAACTCTTCAATGGGATTATTGAATATTGATGAGGTCTCTAGAAGACCAAAGACTATTTGTGGTATTTTACTTAACACAATGTATGTCTGTCTTTGAGGCTCAAAATGCACTCTTAATTCACTTTTCATCTCATCTTTGATTTGTATTTTACTTCACATAATGTATTTCTAGCTGCACAAACATCATCTCTATCAACTCTGTAAATAGAGGTGAGCTTTCAACAGTACAGACTGTTTGCAGTTTGCACAAAGTATTTCTTAAAATAAAAAAATCCTTCAAATAATAGGATTTACTTTCCAAGAATTAAAATGACCTAATGAATAAAGAAAATCACGGTGTCTTTCATAAAGTGCAGGGCAATATAAAGATTTCGGCTTTTACTTATTTGTTGGTTTCCAACAATAAGCTTAGTTCGGTTGTCTGAAGTTGTGGATATAAAAGTTCCTCTAGCATGGTCAATGAGGTAATGGAATTCCCTAATGAGATCCTACCATGAACGAAATAGTACACGATATCATTACAAATGGTTTCTACTATTTTTATTTGGTCAATAGCTAGCTAGACTAACTTCCACTGATGATTGAAACTGAGTTGTTTCAATTTTAACATCATTGGAAATGCAATAACATCAAGAACCATGACAAAACCCATCTTGTATTGCATACAAATTTTCAGACAATTAATATAACATTTATAATAAAAAAAACTCGAGCACTTTCAGAATTTGAAGATTCATTCATAGACACAGTTTAAAGAAAGAAAAAAAAAAGACTTTAAAGACAATTGCCCAAATCTCTACCCATAAGAAGTACAACTTTCACCACATCACATGCCTTGACAAATCAGATTATGAAGTAATAGCAATCATTGAAATTTGTTTTGAGGTTGAGCTAAAGCTATTGCGCCCAAGTACAAATGTAAAAGCAGATAGAGAAAAAAGCACTTACAGGTTTTTGGAGCATTTCTAAGGTCCTCGCTGCTAAGAAGAGAGAAAGAGTGTGTTTGTGGGGTATGAGTAAACAGAAACCCTTTCTGACCGTCTTTGGAAGAAACGCGGCGACGATGCCCCACGACAACCGTTTTGATATAACACTTTTTCCTCTTTTTTATTTGGGTTAGGCTTTTTTCTTTTTTCCTCAACTCTGCCCGTTTTCTTTCGAGATGAGGTGAGAGAAAAAAAAGAAAAAAAAACCCACAGGCTCCGACAGTTAAAAAAACAAGTCAGTCCGTGAGAACGACAAATTTTCGTTTTCAATATTTGTTCATGATCGTTGAATTCATTTTCAAAAAGCAAATTATATGTTTTTCAATTTAGCAGTGCCGAATGCATATTTGGTGAAAATAGAAAACAGAAAATGAAAACAGTGCTCCGAAAACATAAACGAATGGGTCCTTAGTTTGTATTTTTATTTTCGGATGAAATGAATATTCATAGGGTGAAAATTATAAATAATATAAAAATTTCATTTTACCTCTACATTTAACAGAAAAGATATCAAAATTGCCGGCATGACCATTTATCCTAATGAAAGTGAAGTTGAAGGAACAGGGGAACGATTTTAGAAATCGAAATACCAAAATGTAAATCGGGTCAAAATTTAGGGATCATTAAACCTAAAAATCCTATTTTTAATTTACATAAAATCTTATAAGGAAACAATTAACGATAATCTATATAACCAATTTACGATATAAAGAAACATGTTGTTTGCGAAATTAGGTTGTAGGTGGAAGTTTGCAACACCATGGTCAAATAATGAGTTCTCTAAATGTAGAAGAGAAGACTAGCTGCCTTTTACGAATGTATGACTTTCTGAGATTCTCGCACATCGCCCACCTGCATTTTACAAATAAACAAAAAATATATACAAATAAATGACCTGATAAAAATAAAATAATAATAAAGGACAAGATCTCAACCTCATGTCCTTTGCCATTCGGCACGCTCTCTCTCCTCCCTCGCGCTCTCTCTCTCTCTCTCTCTCTCTCTCTCTCTCTCTCTATCTTTCAGACTCACACACTTCCGAACCAGAAAAATCAACGCACTTTCTTCCCCTCCATGAGAGGATTAGGGCAGATATAGATCCCAAGATTTGGAAATGGAAGAAAGTCGCGTGCAATTATTGCATCGCGGTTGCTGATTTCTGAGGCATTGAGGTCGGAGCTGAGCTTGAATTTGATCCGGGGTTCGCTAATTGATGCTTTTCAGTCGAGTTCTGGTTCTAAGACGCACATGGAATCGTTCTGGAGCGACAATGGCGCACCAGACGCTTGGCACTTCCTCGTCGTTATCTACTTCGCTTTTGGGTTTTTGGCTGCTCGGCTCTTCTTTGACAGATTCATCTTTTGCGTAAGATTTCTAGCTGTGTTTGGGATTTCAAGTTGCTTAAGCATTTGGTTGTGCTCTTTCTTTTTTGAATCTTCAATTGGTAGAATCTGTTTGACTTCTGAGATAAATGTGGAAAACAGAGAGAATAATATCTTGAATTGCATATCTTGTCCTCCTTTACTTTCCTTATTAGATACTAACTTGTAGTATTTTCTTTGAACTCTGATTTTTTCCTTTCCAAAGTTTTGACTGTGTAACTTAGTTGGATAAGCGCTTTTGTTTCTTGGACTCCAAATAATGGCGCGATAAGTAATTGGGCTTTTAGTACGAATTTTAGTTTGTTTGAGAACTTGCATCTCTATATTGTGGGTTCAAAGAATTGAGTTTGTCTTTATAATTGTCAAGAAAGAATCTTGAACAATTGCAAGGACAAGAAGATTTAACATGGTAGTACAAGCATGTGCCCTACCATCTGAATGCTTGTTATAGGACTTTAACATGGTAGTTGTTTAATCTTGCCATGATTTCGGGAAAGTTGAGATTTGTGCTGATTTGCGGTATAATTTTTTTTTATGGGGTAAAATATTTGTAGTATAGGTTGAATGGTTCATTATTAACTTGCTGATGTTGGGACATTCAAGGTTTCAGTAGCACAAGTTTCAGTCTTGCATCAGAAATGTGCTCTTTATAGGTCCTTAACTCTGTAGAAATTTAAGGTGAACTAAATGATCCCCTTGGAATTGTTAACTGGTTTTCCAGGTGTTGATAATATAGGCAGTTTACAGCTTGTTACATTGGCTTCATCCAAAAGTTAGGTTGGCTTAATATATTTTTTTTAATAGAAACGAAATTTATTGAAAGAAAAAGAAGAGGAAAAGACTGATTTCTAGAGCATGTACTTGGAGAACTGATGTTTCGGTGTTCTGTATATACACCTATGTACTCCATTCTTGTGCTATGGAAAAAATGATCTTCCTCATATTGTTTGAAGTTTATTTTCAACAGGGTATCATAGCAATATGTTCATGGTAACCTAACATTTCTGCCACCCTAACCCCTATCCTACCTTGTACTATAGCTGCCACCACCACACCATCTCCAAGTTAAGTGAAAAGGAATATGCAAGCATACCATGGATTTGATAGTTATCCTATATAAGTTAAGTGAAAATGAATATTCAAGCATGCAATTTACCAGGTTTATGTTTTTTCATATGATCCATAAGTGAAATACAAAAAAGTACGATCCAAATTTTGACTACTTTCCAAATATATTCTTAAATCAAATTTAATAAGCAGCATAAGGCTGAATTTTCCTCTATTTTTAAGCTGTCTTCTTATATATCATAACCTACCAGTATATGGGGAACAAAAGCAGCATCAGTAACTATTTAAGTGAAAAGGAACATGAAAGCATGCAGCTTTAGAAGATTTGCATGTTTTATCTTACCTTGAATTATAATCCTCATACTGTAAATTTTTTTCTCTTAATTTTGTTGTGTTTCAGAAAATTTCCATCTGGTTGTTGAGCAAGGGATCTGCTCCATTGAAGCTCGATATGGCTACACGGGCAAAGATTGTAAAATGTTCAGAGTCACTTTGGAAGCTAACATACTATGCCACTGTTGAAGCATGCATTCTCAAGATAAGCTACCAGGAGCCATGGTTCAGAGATACAAAAGAGTACTTTAAAGGCTGGCCAAACCAGGAGTTGGGGTGAGTGACTCATATGGTTGGACTAGTAGTACTTGTTATATAATCCCCTTCTAGCACCCCCCTCCCTCTTCCTTTTTATTTTATTTAAAAAAGCTGAAGATGGTTCGATCATGTCTACAATTCAATTTTTGCATGATTTGTTTGGAAGGAGAGGGGGGAGTACCGAAGTTAGGAATGACTTGAATTTGTAGAATTCTAGATCAATGATGAGTTTTCGCATAATCTGAGTTTTACAGACATAGCATTCTGAAATTGTCTATTCTAACTCTATTCCTTTCTCATTTCAGGCTTCCCCTAAAGCTTTTGTATATGGGTCAATGTGGATTCTATACCTACAGCATTGTTGCCCTCCTTACATGGGAGACTCGAAGGAAGGATTTCTCAGTGATGATGGGTCACCATGTAATTACTGTTCTCCTGATTGGGTACTCATACATTACGAGGTATTTTTCAGATTTTTCTGCGAGTACAATAATCTGTTGGTATCACCGAGCATATATTTAGCAATGTGCATTTGTGTGGTTTAGAGGATCTCATGCAATGACTTTCTTTTCATTTTTGGGCCACTTGTAGCTTTTTTCGGATTGGCTCAATCATTCTTGCCCTGCATGACGCGAGTGATGTATTTTTGGAAGCTGCCAAGGTTTTCAAGTATTCTGAGAAGGAGCTTGCCGCAAGTGTGTTCTTTGGATTTTTTGCTGTTTCGTGGCTCATACTGAGGCTAATATTCTTCCCCTTCTGGGTTATAAGCTCATCAAGGTCTGCTCTCATGGTAAACCGTTTTATTAAACCAAATTTACATGTAGAGTGGCTCTGACTTATCTTTTCTTATGGTTGGTATTTTCCAGCTATGACCTTATTGACTGCTTGGATCTATCGAAGCTTGCTCCCAGAGCTCTGTACTATGTGTTCAATACAATGTTACTGATGCTGTTTGTGTTCCACATATACTGGTGGGTTATGATATGTGCAATGATAAGAAGACAGCTGAAAAATAGAGGAAAAGTTGGAGAAGATATAAGATCTGGTAAACCATATATACTGCTTACAAGTTTGAATCTTACAAAGCCTTATACTGCTTATAAAATTTGTTGTGAGAACTACTTCATTATAATTGGAAAATATATTTCTTCTCTTTCACTCTCATTGATTCAGTAATATGGTTGAATCTTACAAAGCCTTATACTGCTTATAAAATTTGTTTGGAGAACTACTCTTTTATATTTGGAAAATATATTTCTTCTCTTTCACTCTCATTGATTCGGTAATATGGTTGGAAGCATTTAGTTGGATTTTCTGTAAAAGAAACCTTCACTAATAAATGCATGCACCAATACCTAAGAAAACCACATTATAAAACTTCTCATTTCTTGGTACTAATTGAATATGGTAGAGTTGGGAATAAAGTTAGATTTTCTAGCACTGTCCTATGGTTGATACTTTATGCTCTCCCCAGACCTAGTATTGGTGAGAGCTTGGTGCACTGGACCACCCCTTTTTAGTGATTTGCCCTCCCATACTACTCAAAGGATTTTGGAGTTGAGATTATTCATTGTACTCAGACCCCATATCGTGCTCTTGAAGCCAACCATGTATAACATCTACTTTCATGCACAGCCAAACAAATTTCAAAGTGAAAGCTATGCCTTTTCAGTGATTTTTAAACAGGATCTTTGTCCCTTTTTCTGATTGTTTTTTTTTTCCTGCATGTATACAGATTCAGAGGACGATGATTAGGCTTCCCAAGTTTTTTTTTGTCTGTGCAAATGCTGGGGAGCCTACTTTTGACTTTGGTTGGCCTATCATTCCACTTGAAAGTGGTCATTATCTGTAGGAAGGGCTTCATACTTTCTTCCATATTCAAGTTTTCATTGATCCTTCTTATGGGTAGTCATATGGAGGTTGGAACGTCGAGCATATCCCTTGTTATCTTGTTTTTCTTTTTCTTTTTTTCTTTTGATGGAGTCTCTTGGTATCTTTCTGGTGTATAAAATAGAAGGAAATTCCTGTATAATTCTTCTCTGGATAATCATTTGTTTTGAGTTGGCCTTTGTATGGAGAAATGGATGGTATTCACAAAATAGAAAAAGAGAAAATCATCTTTCTGCGGAATGCTGTGTGGTTTGATTCAAGACCTCCTGTGGAGTGCTTAGAACTTTTTCTTTTCACGTTTCACTTTTCCCTTTTTTTTTCCTTCTCTTTCAAGTAAAGCAAAAGTAGGAAGATGACAAAACGGGCCCTTAGCTTTTCCATCCCCATTTAATTTTGCGTTATTTGATTCAAGACCTCCTGTGTGGTGCTTGAACCTCTTATTTGAGGACAATGCATAAAAGTGTTTATACTAGGGGTTTTGAGGGTCACACATCTAAAAATTTCAGCATTTTTTCAATCAGATATTCGTCCGAAAGCTTTTGAAAGCCGAACGAGTAATACAATCATCACACATTTGATAACCTGCATAATGTGTCTGCAAATCACTTTTGCTTGGTGGCTTTGCTATAACACTCCGGTTGTTCTAGTGTAAAATTGAAACCACGAGTGTGGGCAAAAGAGTACTTGATTCATAATGTAGGCTTTGTATTGTAGAACAATCCTGTAGAATCCAATATTTGAAAGTTGGGAAAATATTTGAGTTGTTAAATTATTTTTCTTTGCTATTAGTAATTACATAAGTAATGCTACTCTTACCATATTTGTATACCACATTCTCATATCACCTTTATGTGGCAGATGAAGTGGACAACCACATCAATTAAAAAGTGTCAATAAATTATAAAAGAAAAGAAAATATTAATTAATTTTAACACCTGCATAAATTGGTATAGAAATGTGATATACAAATATGATAAGAGTAGTATTATTCTAATTACATTAATTGCCAATTTGAAAGAGGGATTTATGGAAAACGTAATAAAACCGTTAATACTAGAGCCTTTTTCCACACGGCACTAGAATTGTCTTCTACAATACCTATCAAGTATCAGACGCAGCCCATTGCGCTTGACTTTAGCAAATTGTATTTCTCTTCCACAATGTTGAAAGACACCGTAAGTTCGACATTTACTCCGAAGATTAAAAGAAAATATCTTGACGTTGATGTGGAATATTTATACCAAGTTAGGCTAAATAGCAGTCACGTTTTCACACCTGCATCTTTTAAGATAATCTTAAATACAATGATGAAACGGACACTATTTCACAATGCAACTTTAACCTCAAACCAGCAGGTTATGATACAAGGAAAGAGACATGAAATCTTTAACTACTTCTCTCTTATATCTCCTACTCTGTGTCAATCTCCTGCCCAACTTCACTGCTTCCCAAATCCTTTTTCAGGTATTTACAGAAAGAATATTCTCTCTCTCTCTCTCTCTCTGTGTGTGTGTCAAAGGGCTAACTAATTTTGTGGAGGGCTGATGATCAGGGGTTCAATTGGGAATCATGGAAGACGGAAGGAGGATGGTACAACTCTTTAAGGAAGTCCATACCTGAACTAGCTTCTTCTGGAATTACACATGTTTGGCTTCCTCCACCTTCTCAGGCTGCTTCATCTGAAGGTAAAATCTGTTCAAACCAGAATTTTTTTTTTTTTTGAAGTTGCTGAGCTAGTGCATTTGAATGGAATGATTTAAGTTTGATAACCAAAAAAAATTAGTCAAAAATAAAATCAAAATCTATAAACATTAGATACGATGTATTTAAATAACTAGATACAATATATTTGAAATAACTATTTATAAGGGATCATTTGAAATCCATATAATACCACATTACCCTAAACAGAAAGAGCTCTCGGATTGGATGAATTGGCTAAAGACTGAAATTGGGTTCAGTGGGTGGAGACTTGATTTTGTCAAGGGATATTCTCCAGCAATTACCAAGTTGTATGTGACAAACACAAGTCCAAATTTCGCAGTAGGGGAACTTTGGAATTCCCTTGCTTATGGAAGTGATGGAAAACCAGAGTACAATCAGGATGCCCATCGTCAAGAGCTTGCGGGATGGGTAGAGGGTGCTGGAGGAGATGTTACAGCATTTGATTTTACCACTAAAGGGATACTTCAACAGGCAGTCCAAGGGGAACTGTCGCGGCTGAAGGACCCGAATGGAAAGGCTCCAGGAATGATTGGTTTGTTGCCAGGAAAGAGTGTAACTTTCATAGACAATCACGATACAGGTTCCACACAACAAAAGTGGCCATTTCCATCAGATAAAGTCATGCAGGGATATACCTATATTCTCACTCACCCGGGAATTCCCTCAATTGTAAGTTTCCAAATTTGAGTTACCTTTTCTCAAGTTAGAAAGTTGGCATCGTCATAAGCTCTCCACTAATGCTCGTTTAGCTGACTATAATATGAGATTCTGATTATTGTACTTATTAGAGCAGAAAACTTATGTTACTTGTGGTCCATTCTTAACATTTGTTTACCTGATTATCTTGTACCAGTTTTATGACCACTTCTTTGACTGGGGATTGAAAGAGGAGATTAGTAAACTCATTGCAATCAGATCCCGGAACGGAATCAAACCCGACAGTACCTTGCGTATTCTAGCATCTGATGCAGATCTCTACGTAGCTGCCATAGATGAGAAAATCATAGCAAAGATTGGTTCAAGGTACGACGTTGGGAACCTTGTACCTCCAACCTACCAAATTGCAACTTCTGGAAATGATTACGCCGTGTGGGAGAAAAAGCATGAGGTCTTGAATATCATCTGTGGAACTGTGGAATGAAGTGACTAGAAATTGTTGTATTGCAAGTGTTGTATTCTATGCTTATTTTTAGTCCTCTACTAAAAATAAAAAATTGAGGTTTCTTTGGAAGATGCAAGAAAGTGAATACAATTTGCATGTGTGGAATTTCTCTGGAAGCAATTAAACTGCTTAGGACTCTTATCTATGAAGAATCCAATTGAAATGTCATTATTAGAGGTTAACATTAGAGACACCTAATTTCCTTACCAAATTTGTTCGCCAAATGATGTGTTAGTATACATGTCAATATCTTAGTTGTTAAAAGTACAAATGGCATTGAGAGTAGACCTAGGAGACAACTTAGCCTAACAAGACCTTATTTATTTCTTGTTGTTCCTTGGCAAAGAACAAGTGCCTCCATCTCCAATTCTCCATCATTAGCAATTGGTTGGACAAGTTAATGTCAGCCGCACCATAGATAGCAGCGTTAGCAATTAAGGCATGTCTCTAATGGTCCAGAATCTGCGTAGAATGAGAGTCAGGACACTCACTTACCAAAACAGTACAGGTTTCATATCTCTGGGTATCTACAGGTTTTAATCACTTACCAAAATAGTTGAGATTTCACATTTTTAGGCCTAAAAACTGTCAGGTATTCAATTTACCGTAACAATCAAGTTCTCACACCTCCATCAAAGGATCTGGTTTCATTACAAGGAAACGTGAACACTCTAACCATTTCCCCCATCTATTTCCTTCTCTCTACCACTCTTGCAGCCGACTTCAGTGCTTCCCAGATCCTATTTCAGGTATTTATAGTAATACATAACCTCTCTCTGTCTCTCTGTCTCTCTCCATAGGACTAATGTATTTTCGGGGGGCTGATGATCAGGGATTCAATTGGGAATCAATCAAGAAAGGAGGATGGTGCAACTCTTTAAGACAGTCTGTACCTTAACTAGCTAGCTACTTTCGGGATTACGCATGTTTGGCTTCCTCCACCTTCTCATGCTATTTCACCTGAAGGTATTTACCTGTCCGAAAACTCTCTCTTGAACCTTGTCAGTTGTGCAAACCACATTTTGTTTTAAGTTGTTAAGCTCAAAGATGATCGCAGAACCAGCACGCAAGTCCGCTACAAGGCTTTGATCCAAAAAAAAAAATTTCCATTCTTGAAAGCCTAGTCTTTAGCCATAGCAGTAAGTCTAGCCGGGCGGCTTTACACTGTAAATAGACGATTTTAAGAGTATAGCCAACCGGCTATACGCTTTAAATATAATATTTTTACAGTATAGCCGCGCGGCTATACGCTTTAATAGCATAATCTTGATTTCTCTTTTTTAATTACTTTATTTAGTAGTTATGTTTTAATTATTATTTTTTAGTGAATAATTAGTATTTAAATATTTTATTAAATTAAAGATACGAAATTGGTTTGTTTTTAAAAAAATAAAAAAACTCCCCATACGAAAGTTCGTCGGCGCAGATATATCCCAGCAAACTTTTGTTGGATTAGACCTCTTCTGACGACCATTCATCGTCAAAGGTGAGTTTCATCGGGAGAGGTCTCATCCGGCAAATATTGCTAGCACTGTGCCGACAACATTTCGTTGGGAGAGATTTTCTTGCTTTTTTATTTATTTATAAATTTTAAACGTATAAAATTAGTTTCTTTACTTTTATTTTTCAGCCAACATCTTTTATTTAATATATATATATATATATATATATATAATTAAGTAATATCATAGTCTTTTAAAATTACTTTAATTAGTAATTATGTTTTAATTATTATTTGTTTAGTGAATATTTAAATATTTTACTCATTTCATAAATTACTTAATAAATAGTAATTAATTATTTTAAATTATTTTGTAGACTATGCTTTTTATTTTATTTGTATACAAAATTATTTTGGGTAAATCCAAGTTCCACTCCCATAGGCCCACCTTGCATATAGCACGTGTGGGAAGACTCCCACTTATAAAGAGTAGATACATTCTCTTCTTTTCCAATGTGGGTCTCAAGTTCATGTATTTCAATCAAACGCCAACAAGTAATTGATATTATCGAATCACGTTGTGACTTGAATTTAAGTTTCAAGGCTAAAATCCATTTTTGGAATACTAAAATTCTTGGGTACCAAAACTAAATTTTCAAGATTTTTATTAAAATATTTAATACTAATTATTCACAAAAAAGAAATAATTATTAAAACACAATTACTAATGAAAGTATTTAAATAAGGATAAGATATTATATAATTACTAAAAAGCAACTTTTTAGAAAAGAAAAAAAAGTTAAAAAAGAATATTCTAAATTGTTAATGGGGGCAATATGGTCATGAAAAATGTGTATTTAATATTGACTCATTTTCCCAAACTTTCTCATGCATGGACTTACGAAACATAAGAAAACAATTGATTTCCCATCCTCAAGCCTCCTTTCCTATGAACCAAACATGGCCTTAATGTGGCAAAAGAGTACTTGATTCATAATGTAGGCCCTGTATTCCAGTAGAACAATCCTATAGAACCCAATATTTGAAAGTTGGGAAAACATTTGAGTTGTTAAATTACTTTTTTGAGTTGTTAAATTACTTTTCTTTGCTATTATTACATTAATTGCCAATTTGAAAGAGGGATTTATGGACAACGTAAAAAAACCGTTAATAGAGCCTTTTCCACACGCACTAGAATTGTCTACAATACCATTCAAGTATCTCTATCCAATTGAAGTCTTAAAGATACTTTCCGCGCTGCGACATCGGTGGTGGATATGTTATCAGACGCAGCCGAATGCGGTCTGACTCAACCAACCAGAACAAAGAAACTTAGCCAAATGCTTGACTTCAACGTGTGTTAGTGTAATGATATTTCTCTTCCACAAATGTCGAAAGACATCTAAGTTCGATTCTCCTATTCCAAAGATTAAAAGAAAATATCTTGACGTTGATGTGGAATTTGTACCAAGTTAGACTAAGTAGCAGTCACGTTTTCACACCTGCATCTTGTAAGATAATCTTAAATACAATGCATAAAATTGTTAATACAAGGGGTTTTGAGGGTCACACATCTAAAAATTTCAGCATTTTGTCGATCCGATTTTCGTCCGAAAGCTTTTGAAAGCCGAATGAGTAATACAATCATCACACATTTGATAACCTGCATAATGTGTCTGCAAATCACTTTTGCTTGGTGGCTTTGCTATAACACTCTGGTTGTTCTAGTGTAAAATTGAAACCAGGAGTGTGGGCAAGAGTACTTGATTCATAATGTAGGCCCTTTATTGTAGAACAATCCTATAGAATCCAATATTTGAAAGTTGGGAAAATATTTGAGTTGTTCAATTATTTTTCTTTGTTATTAGTAATTATATGAATAATGCTACTCTTACCACATTTGTATACCATATTCTCATATATACCACCTTATGTGGCAGATGAAGTGGACAACCACATCAATTAAAAAGTGTCAATAAATCATAAAAGAAAAAGAAAATATTAAATTAATTTTAATTGATGTGGTTGCCCCCCTGCCACAAAAATTGGTATAGAAATGTGATATACAAATATGATAAGAGTAGTATTATTCTAATTACATTAATTGCCAATTTGAAAGCGGGATTTATGGAACACGTAATAAAACCGTTAATATTAGAGCCTTTTCCACACGGCACTAGACTTGTCTTCTACAATACCATTCACGTATCTCTATCCAATTGAAGTCTTAAGATGCTTTCCATCATGCATTGACGACATTGGTGGAAACTTAGCCAAATGCTTGACTTCGACGTGACGTTAGTGTAATCTAAGTTCGATTCTCCTATCCCAAAGATTTAAAAGAAAATATCTTGACGTTGATGTGGAATATTTGTAACAAGTTAGACTAAATAGCAGTCATGTTTTCACACCTGACGTTGATGTGGAATATTTGTAACAAGTTAGACTAAATCGCAGTCATGTTTTCACACCTGCAAGATAATCTTAAATACAGCGATGAGACGGACACCATTTCACAAAGCAACTTTAAGCTCAAACCAGCAGTTTATGATACAAGGAAAGAGACATGAAATCTTTAACTACTTCTCTCTTCTGTCTCCTACTCTGTATCAATCTCCTGCCCAACTTCACTGCTTCCCAAATCCTTTTTCAGGTATTTACAGAAAGAATATTCTCTCTCTCTCTCTCTCTCTGTGTGTGTGTCAAAGGGCTAACTAATTTTGTGGAGGGCTGATGATCAGGGGTTCAATTGGGAATCATGGAAGACGGAAGGAGGATGGTACAACTCTTTAAGGAAGTCCATACCTGAACTAGCTTCTTCTGGAATTACACATGTTTGGCTTCCTCCACCTTCTCAGGCTGCTTCATCTGAAGGTAAAATCTGTTCAAACCAGAATTTTTATTTTTTTTTAAGTTGCTGAGCTAGAACTTAATTTGGGTGCATTTGAATGGAATGATTTAACTTTGATAACCAAAAAAATTAGTCAAAAATAAAATCAAAATCTATAAACATTACATACGATGTATTTAAATAACTAGATACAATATATTTGAAATAACTATTTATAAGGAATCATTTGAAATCCATATAATACCAAATGACCCTAAAATTTAGTTTGTGGCAATGTTGAAAGCATAGAGTCTTTAGTATTTAGCAGCAGGCGGGTCCACATAGGGGCAAGGGGGGTCAATTGACCCCTGCAAGCCTGGAATCCACCATAGGAGGCCAAGAACTTGACCCCTGCAAATGCCTAAAAGGTGTTTGATGAAATGCCCCAAAGAGGGAGCAGCCATAGCCAGGAGCAAGCAAGAAGCTTGCTGTGCAGTGCCCAGCGCTTCAATTTTTTTTTTCTTGACATCAAAACGACGTCGTTCCACTTAAGTTTTTTTTTTTAATAAAAAAACCTGGCCAAAACGACGTCGTTTTGGCTCAGGTTTTAAAATTATGAAAAAAAAACCCACAGGCAACAGCCTCATCAGTGCTTCGACCCTGCAGATTTGGCTCATTTTTCTGCTGAGCCAGGTGACGTTCATGCAAATTGTACCTTTTAGCATCAGCTTGCAAAGAAGCCAAGATCATCATTTTTCTGCTTGGTTCTGCCCTCTTCATTGTTTTATATACATCATCCATGTTGGCCATGACACGGTAGCACAGCCATTAAGTATGGCTTTTATGGTGGATCCAGAATTTCTTATCTGCTTGCGAACAACTTAAGTAAACCTTACCTGACTTGTATATGTTGACCTCTTAGAATTGAACCCTGGAGTTTGATGAGTTCAACAGAAAAGCTAAAGACGGAAAAAAAAAAAAATTCCTTAATTAATCTATAAAACCAAGCTGTGTTTATCCTGGGCCAAATCATTTGTTCCGTCTAACATTTTCTTACAATTTACAAATATTTTTCTTGGTAATATATTTCTTGGAAACAAGCCCTCTATCAAAGCGGCTAAAAGAATTATAAACGAAAGTCGCTATTATCAATATTGTCACTATCATCAACAAGAAAACATATCGTACATAATCTGTAATATACAAGAGAGAAATACATATAGTACTTTCTTATATTGAAAATTTGACATAAAATACGAGAGTGGTACATTTTGTATATATTTTTTTTTATACCTTTTAGACGTTGACCCCTGCAAGGAAAATTCCTGGATCCGCCACTGGCAGCAGTTGCATGACTGCCATATGCCAATTCTCCAAAAAAATTAGTCAAAAATAAAATCAAAATCTATAAACATTAGATACGATGTATTTAAATAACTAGATACAATATATTTGAAATAACTATTTATAAGGGATCATTTGAAATCCATATAATACCACATTACCCTAAAATTTAGTTTGTGGCAATGTTGAAAGCATAGAGTCTTTAGCTATTTTGCAGCAGTTGCATGACTGCCATATGCCAATTCTTCCCTTTCTCCAGGATACTTGCCTGGAAGGCTCTATGATCTCAGTGCATCAAAATATGGAAGCCAAGATGAACTGAAGTCGTTGATAAGCGCCTTCCACGATAGTGGGATACAGACTGTGGCAGATATAGTTATAAACCACAGAACTGCAGAGAAACAAGATGAGAGAGGAATATGGTGCATCTTTGAAGGAGGAACTCCAGATGATCGCCTTGATTGGGGCCCGTCTCTTATTTGCAGCGACGACACACAATATTCTAATGGCAAGGGGAATCCTGACACTGGAGCCGGCTACGATGCTGCTCCTGATATTGACCACAAAAACACAAGAGTGCAGAAAGAGCTCTCGGATTGGATGAATTGGCTAAAGACTGAAATTGGGTTCAGTGGGTGGAGACTTGATTTTGTCAAGGGATATTCTCCAGCAATTACCAAGTTGTATGTGACAAACACAAGTCCAAATTTCGCAGTAGGGGAACTTTGGAATTCCCTTGCTTATGGAAGTGATGGAAAACCAGAGTACAATCAGGATGCCCATCGTCAAGAGCTTGCAGGATGGGTAGAGGGTGCTGGAGGAGATGTTACAGCATTTGATTTTACCACTAAAGGGATACTTCAACAGGCAGTCCAAGGGGAACTGTCGCGGCTGAAGGACCCGAATGGAAAGGCTCCAGGAATGATTGGTTTGTTGCCAGGAAAGAGTGTAACTTTCATAGACAATCATGATACAGGTTCCACACAACAAAAGTGGCCATTTCCATCAGATAAAGTCATGCAGGGATATGCCTATATTCTCACTCACCCGGGAATTCCCTCAATTGTAAGTTTCCAAATGTGAGTTACCTTTTCTCAAGTTAGAAAGTTGGCATCGTCATAAGCTCTCCACTAATGCTCGTTTAGCTGACAATAATATGAGATTCTGATTATTGTACTTATTAGAGCAGAAAACTTATGTTACTTGTGGTCCATTCTTAACATTTGTTTACTTGATTATCTTGTACCAGTTTTATGACCACTTCTTTGACAAGGGCTTGAAAGAGGAGATCACTAAACTCATTGCAATCAGATCCCGGAACGGAATCAAACCCGACAGTACCTTGCGTATTCTAGCATCTGATGCAGATCTCTACGTAGCTGCCATAGATGAGAAAATCATAGCAAAGATTGGTTCAAGGTACGACGTTGGGAACCTTGTACCTCCAACCTACCAAATTGCAACTTCTGGAAAGGATTACGCCGTGTGGGAGAAAAAAGCCTGAGGTCCTGAATATCATCTGTGGAATGAAGTGACTAGAAATTTTTGTATTGCAAGTGTTGTATTCTATGCTTATTTATCAAGGAATAAAGCAAATAGTAGCCCTCTACTAAAAATAAAAAATTGAGGTTTCTTTGGAAGATGCAAGAAAGTGAATACAATTTGCATGTGTGGAATTTCTTTGGAAGCAATTAAACTACTTAGGACTCTTTATCTATGAAGAATCCAATTGAAATGTCATTATTAGAGGTTAACATTAGAGACACCTAATTTCCTTACCAAATTTGTTCGCCAAATGATGTGTCAGTATACATGTCAATATCTTAGTTGTTAAAAATAAAAATGGCATCGAGAGTAGACCTAGGAGACAACTTAGCCTAACATGACCTTATTTATTTCTTGTTGTTCCTTGGCAAAGAACAAGCGCCTCCATCTCCAATTCTCCATCATTGGTAATTGGTTGGGACAAGTTAATGTCAGCCGCACCATAGATAGCAGCGTTAGCAATTAAGGCATGTCTCTAATGGTCCAGAATCTGCGTTGAATGACAGTCAGGGCACTCACTTACCAAAACAGTACAGGTTTCATATCTCTGGGTATATACAGGTTTTAATCACTTACCAAAACAGTGAGATTTCACATTTTTAGGCCTAAAAACTGTCAACCAAAATGTAACTCCCAGTATAGTTGAGGGATTATTGCTACAAATAATCCTAACTGAAAAGTCATATTTGCCCATCAATAATTTAAGAGATGCTTGTCACGTCATCATTTTAAACAGAAAAAGTCACAGACTTGACGGAAGGACTAATGGTGCAACAAAACACCTACTTGAGTGACCTCTGCAACTAATAATTGAATTGAGTGACCAAACTGTAAATACGGGTATAGTTGAGGGACCATTGTTGCGAATAACCCTTAAAAAAAATTAGAAAACCCGAATATAGCCTTTCGACTATACTATTTCTTTTTAAAAAACTGGAAAAACCCGAGTATAGCCGCCCGGCGTTACTATTTCTTTTTAAAAAAATTGGAACAAACCGAGTATAGCCGACCGGCTTTAATATTCCTTTTTATACTATTTCTTTAAATAAAAATTAGAAAAAACGAGTATAGCCGCTCGGCGATATTATATCTTTTGAAAAAAATAGGAAGTACAGATTATAGCCACGCGAGGATACTATTTCTTTAAATAAATAAAAATTATAAAAAACGGGTATAGCCGAACGGCTATATATTTTCTTCGGGAGAGGTTTTTATGCTTTTTAAAAATATATATAACTAGTTTCTTTACTTTTGTTTTTTTGGCCAACTTCTTTACTTTAATATATGTAGTTAAGTAATATCTTAGCTTTTTAAATTACTTTAATTAGTAATTATGTTTTAATTATTATTTGTTTAGTGAATATTTAAATATTTTACTCATTTTATAAATTACTTAATAAATAGTAATTAATTATTTAAAATTATTTTGTGGACTATGCTTTTTATTGTATTTTTATACAAAATTAGTTTGGGTAAATCCAAGTTCCACTCCCCTAGGCCCACCTTGCATATAGCACGTGTGGGAAGACTCCCACTTATAAAGAGCAGATACATTCTCTTCTTTTCCAATGTGGGTCTCAAGTTCATGTATTTCAATCAAACGCCAACAAGTAATTGATATTATCGAATCACGTTGTGATTTGGATTCAAGTTTTAAGGCTAAAATCCATTTTTGGAATACTAAAATTCTTGGGTACCAAAACTAAATTTTCAAGATTTTTATTAAAATATTTAATACTAATTATTCATAAAAAAGAAATAATTATTAAAACACAATTATTAATGAAAGTATTTAAATAAGGCTAAGATATTATTTAATTACTAAAAAGCAACTTTTTAGAAAAGAAAAAAAAGTTAAAAAGATTACTTTACGAGTATAGCCGCACGGCTATACTATTCCATTTAAAGAGTATAGCCGCTCGGCTGTTCTCCACAAGTTGAATATTTTAAACGTATAGCCGCGCGGCTTTACTATACAAAGGCGTTACTCTAGAAATAGAATAGAATATGTTAGATGTCATAGGAGAATTCTTTGTA